TATTTTAAGAGAAATTATCTCTGGCTAGTTTTATATTAAAAAAAAAAAATAACGTACGCGACAATTTTTCTTGTAAGTAATAAAATGTATTTATTGAGAACTCTTCTCGCCACCGTTTCACCTTTACAATCCTTTCATATTTTAACAGAAATTATCTCTGGCTAGTTTTATATTAAAAAAAAACAATAACGTACGCGACATAACGTACGCGACAATTTTTCTTGTAAGTAATAAAATGTATTTATTGAGAACTCTTCTCGCCACCGTTTCATTGTTTTACAACTATTCTAAATAATTTAAATGGAAAATTTGCAATGAACATTGGTTTTGATGTATTTGATTGAAATTTTCGTACTTACAATAACGTATGCGACAAACTTTAAAGGGTAATAAAATATATTTTTACTTCGGTTGGAAAGAAAATTTTACTGTATATCTTTAACTGGAAGAATTCTCGCTTAAGAATTGTAATCTGCATTACCTGCGACTGCCAATATACAAATGACATAGACAAACAATGTTTTTGCATAACGTACGCGACATTAGAATACTGTCAGAAGCAAATCAAAAAATTACCGTTATTCGAGCTCTAACTTCTCCTTTTTCTCATTTTTATAGTTAGTTGTTATTGCAAATTTGATTTTAAGATGTAATTGTAATGTTTCAAATCTCTTAATTTAGTTAATAGGAAAGAGAAAATAGTTCATTTCATTAGAGAAAACTGAGTCGAAGAGACATTCAGTTTTACTCTTCCATTTTTGAGTTTTAAAATTCCAATAAGCTGAAATACTTCTATAATATAAAAATTCGAGTATTTTTCTCTTATTAATTCGTCTTAAAGACCCTTTTCAGTTGTTTTTATTTTTTCAGTCCTGGTTGACATTTGCATGGAAACACCCATATGTAGGCATGTACTAAATGTGAGCAAACAACATTTTGCTTGCATAGTCTTTTGTTCTCTTTTCACTGCCAGTTTAATTATTTTAGTATCTATTGCAAAATTTTATACAGACAAGACTAAAAAGTATAAAATAAATTAAAAAAAAACTTTTTAATGTACCACGCTTTTATAAATGGCCTAAAATTAGAAAATAATATTTCTCAGTCCCATAGAACTTGCTTTGATAACTTTTGATTTTGAAATTTTAGCAAAACTAATTATAAACAATTTATGAGATTGAAAATGAAAAGCGTGGGGCGCATGTAATAGGCCTAATTTGAAATTGAAAAGTAATATATGTATGTATGTGGGTATATTAATAACGACCGCTTAAAATCGATCTCAAATTTGTACTTTTTCTGTAGAAATTTTAGGTCTATTACTATGTTTATACGTAAGCTATTTGCAAATAAAATTAATTTGCAAATACTTAACTCACTGTTTATTTATTGCCTGATTATAAAAAGGCAATAATATGACCATCGAAAAAGAAAATAAAATTAAAAATGGCAACGTCTTGATTATAAAAAGGCATTAAGATGACCATCGAAAAAGAAAATAAACCTAAGATTGGCGGCGTCTTGCGCTTATTTGCAAATAGTACCACTAATCAATACTTATTTGCGTTTTTTAGTTATTTGCAAATAAAAAAATAACTCAGCGTTTATACGGCAAAGTTTACCATTTTGCAAATTGTTATTTGCAAATAATACGTGCATATAAACGTAGTATATGTTATGTACATATGTAGTTTGAATATTGTCAATTAAATCTAATGCTTTGTATTGCATGCGCTCGACGTTTTTCGTTTTCAATCTCATAAATTGTTTATAATGACTTTTGCTAAAATTTCAAAATCAAAAGTTATCAAAACAAGTTCTATGGGACTGAGAAATATTATTTTCTAATTTTAGTCCATTTATAAAAGCGTGGTACATTAAACAGTTTTTTTTTATTTATTTAATACTAGCTTTTACCCGCGGGTTTCACCCCGCGCTTTTATACAAATATGAAAAATAATTTAATGATGTTAGATTTTATTTCTGTGCCCATTTTGTTATTGCTCGTTATTTTTTAAGCGAGTTAAGGTATTTAGGTCGTTTAAAACTATGAAATTATAAAATCTCGTCTGCGCGCTAGGCATACGAAAGATATCAATCTCTCTAAGTTTGCCTTAAAATGGTTCCAGGTATATGACGCGTGAATGTGTAACCTTCTTGGAGATGCCACGGCGGGTTCTAATATTTCCAACTCAAATTTAGTAACCTGGCCTTGATAAAATACCACTTCTCATTACTGTAGCAAATGCCTCAAGAGAGCTTTAGATTATAAGGGCGACTCTCCTTTTTCCATTTAATGAATTTGTAAAACGTTTGTTGGTATATATCTTAATGAAAATGCACACCAAATTGCTTAGATTGGTGAGGAAACCCGACTTAGCCATACCGGATTAACTTGGTTTGTGTGCACAGGGAAATTCCAGCATAACTTAATTAATCACCAAACCTACTTGATCAAATTAAGAGTTAATGATTAAAAATTAATTTTTTAGCCCGGTTACGATTAGCTGTTTATCCAGATTAAAATTAATCATGATTAACTGTGATCAGATTGAATTTAATCGAATTAACTAACTGATTAAAACATCAATCGATTAATTCCAACATTGATTTCACATACAGATCACTATACCAAGTTTCAGTTCTCCCCGACAAATACTTCCAGAGATATGTATGTAATATGAAAATTCCAATTTGTATGGAAGGGGTCTTGAGTTACCGGACTTACTTTCAGTCTAAGACCATCCTTCCGAAATCCGAAGTAAGCGTACTAAACTTCCATCTGATCGGAAAACCGGTTAAGGAAGTAGCCTATTTTTCAATCCAGGTCATAAACCATCTTTGAGCAAAATTTCATTTTCAAACAGCTGGCAATTCTTAAAAAAGTAAAATAAAGTAAAAAGTAGTTAAAGTAAGCTATCTGTGTGAAAACTTTCATGCAAATCAGTTCAGTCATTTACGCGTATTAATTTAATTTAACTTTCCTAATACGTGATAACTCTTAAAATAGTAGCCTATTTTCAAACGTAGGTTCTATCGTAGGTTCGTAGCTATCTCTGTGCGAAATGGCATGCAAATTAGTTTCATTAAAACTTTTTTAACAGGAGGCAACTCTTCCAAAAAAATTAGCCTATTTTCCACTGTATGTCATAAGCTATCTGCTTGCAAAATTTCATGCAAATCCGTTCAGACTTTTCCGCGTATTAATTTAATTAAACTTTTTTTAGCAGGTGGTAACTCTTAAAAAAAAGTAGCCTATTTTTCAGCCCAGCTCATAAGCTATCTGTGTGAAAACTTGCATGCAAATCAGTTCATTAATTTCCACGTATTAATTAAATTAAACATTTCTAACAGGTGGCAACTCTTAAAAACAGTAGCCTACTTTCTAACGTAGGTCATAAGCTATCTGTGTGCAAAATTTCATACAAATCCGTTTAGTCGTTTCCGCGTATTAATTTCATTAAATTTTTTTAACTCTTCCAAAAAATTAGCCTTTTTCTCACTGTAGGTCATAAGCTATCTGCTTGCAAAATTTCATGCAAATCCATTCAGTCGTTTCTGCGTATTAATTGAATTAAACTTTTTTAACAGGTGGCAACTCTTAAGAAAAGTAGCCTATTTTCGAATCTAGGTCATAACCTATCTGTTTGCAAATTTTCATGCAAATCCATTCAGTCGTTCCCGCATATTAAATAAATTAAACTTTTAACCAGGTGGCAACTCTTAAAAGAATAGCCTATTAACCAATCTGGCGCATAGGCTGTCTGCGTACAAAACTTCATGCAAATCCGTTCAGTCGTTTCCCCGTGATGATTTCCCAAACATCCAAACATACAAACTTTCACATTTATAATATTAGTAAGATAAACCAATAATCACAAGAATTATAAAAATTTCTCTCCAAAAGATACGTTTCAAAGCATCCCTGTCGATGTCATAATTCAAATACAAATTTGAATAGAAATTTTGCCTCCCAAATGTTTCCGTCTGGCCTCCTCAAGATCCATAATGCCTCCGGAGGTAGTCAACACAACGTAACCAAATTGACGAGAAGGCAGCAAGTTGGTCCACTTCCAACCATTCCAACCAATTTATGCGATTTAATGGGCCTCATGC